ATTGCTCTTAATTATTCATATTACTCTTAATTATTCGAATTACTCTTAATGATTCCTATTGCTCTTAATGATTTTACGAGAGGCTTCTTAATCAGAGCTATTATTTTTTTTAACTTAAAGGTTCTTGAGCGCCCGGTATTAACAGTGGCCCTTCCGGTTGCATCTTTGAATTGCTCATATGATTTTGCTAACATATGTTTTAAATTAGAGTCATAGTGTGCTTCACCTTATTAAAACTAACGTTACTCGAGCCAACGAACTACCAGATAGGAGTTGTCGAAACAGATAACTAATAACTACATAAACTTATTTGTCGATACGCAGTTTAAAATTTCTGGTATTGATCTAATGTCGGCATTACCTATATATGATTTATATTACAACTTGGACGACGAAGTATTATTTAGAATTATTATTTTTTGACTTTGTATTTTTTGACTTTCGCTAATATTCCTGAAATAATGTATAATCAATGTTAAAAATAATTGAGTGAAAAAATTCACTTACCTATGGGATTCGAACCTGGAACCTTCGGATTATGAGTCTTCTGCGTTATGTGCTGTACCATTTCTTCGATTAATAAATGTGTTACTTAATTGTACATATGTGATATAAACAATCTATCCACAATATATATCTAATAATAAAGACAAATAAATAAATAAATAAATAATAAATAAATAACAAATAAAGACAATATTAGGTAATGATTGACATGCAATATTGGTTACACATTGGCATTTATTATATAGCCAATATTGTGTAACGACTGACATGCAATATTGGCTATACATTGGCATCTATTATATAGCCAATATTAGCATTGCATTGGGAAATCTTGGCCAATGTATTCCCAATATAACCAATATTTAGCCAATCTCAGCCAATGTATAGCCAATGTTCTGTGCTACTAGGGGTATTTCATTAAGGAACACTGAATAAATTAACAATAGAAAATTTTATGTTAATAGATTATATAATATAATGTAAATTATTCAATAAATAATATAATTATATTGTTACGTCCGTCCGTGCGTTCGTCCTGTTGCGCTCGCTATGCGAGATCGCACTCACGACCGCGACGCGCACTCCCG